AAAGGTATGTCACAGTATATTGTGTATATGCTTATGTGGGTTTTTTATCTGTATATGTGTGTGTGTGTGTGTGTGTGTGTGTGTGTGTGTGTGTGTGTGTGTGTACTGTAGGGATGTGTGCACAAGTGTGTGTTTGTGGCCACAGCTGTCTTCCAAGTCAATAGACACACTGTCACCACTGGCATGTAATTGACAGCTTGGAGTTTGCATTGACGCAGGTCTTGCATATATTCCCTCCATTACCATTCGTGTACGTCAGCTCAGAGCWCTCCTTGGCAGTGCGTTCAGGAGTCATCTAGCTTGGCAGGGGATTAAACAAACACCCTCTATATGGCTTTTTGGGAAGAAATAATAAACTCCCTCACCCTCACTAAGCCAAATAGGTAGGGTAGGCTCTCACTTTCTCATTGCTGATTAGTTATATTTAGAGTTGAACCACCTGTTGCACTTAAAGCCTTTATATATTGCTTTCAATCAAAAGTTAGGCTTTGTCAAATATTGTTTTGTTGTGTTTTTGTGGTGTGCATTTTGCCAATAGCAAAAAGATCAACAAATGTCAATTTTAGTTTTATAGCAAATTAAGAAACATTTATTATTTATATAAGTTCATGCCAACGTTTTAAGCAACAATCCTGGTCACGATCCAGTAGTTTTTTGCTAAAATTTTAGCTGTGGTGGCCATCTTGAATCAGGTTACCTCCAAAGTAAGTCAGTTGTAAATGCACATGCAAACTACAGTATGTCAAGTGGTTGACAAAATGTTTCCCTATCTGCCATTCATGCAGTGGGTATATTAAGGGATAAACTGGTTTAACAACATCTAATTGTAATGTTACTTAGGTAGCTTGAAAGCTATTGTAACATTTTATTGCTGTCAAAACTAATAGGGAAATAGATCTGAATGTCATCAGCAAAGAAATGAAAATAACCAATAGTATGTCTAAATTTTCGCATCTAATGCAATAAACACAGTATAGGATGAAAATCAGAAGTCCCAAATAAGATCCTTGGGTATTGCCCAAATAAGAGGGTTGCAGAAGAAAAATATTCCCCAAACTAAACTGAAAAAGGTTGTTTGGTAGAATTTTGGTGTTGTCAGGTCCTTTGATACCAACAACCTGTTAAAATTGTGCTTACAAAGTCATTCACAGGAATAAAGGCAAAGGAAGATCTAAACGCTGCATTCCATGGTTTAAAATAAATAAAATATAGTAAATTATGGTATACATTTATAAAAGCATCTACTTTTTATCAAATCTTTTGTTTACACAAAGTGCAAAGTCTCTCTTACTGTATATGTGACTGTTGACTCACGTGAAATGAGAAGTTCTTTGGAAATTCTCAAGGATACCTCAGAGACTTGTGAAAGAGCAGAGCAAGTACGGCTTAAATGCCACCGTGTGAATGTGGTTTTACCAGCTGAACTGATCAAATCAATCAGCAATTACCTTGTATAATGTTCAAGTTGAAATGTCACTCTTTTTCACTTCTGCCCCGAATGCTCAAGAAGTGAGGGGGAGGATGACATATTGAGACATGTATTATAGGAAAGAGGTTATGGTGAAGAGACAGCAGCCATAACAGAAACTTGAACCCAGTGGTCCTCAGTCCTGATCTTTGAGGGCCACTATCTTGCATGTTTAAGGTGTTTCTCTGTTTCAGTACACCTGATTGGTTTAAGTGAGTGATTAACAGGCATCTGCAGGACTTGGAGACCTGCTGAAGAGCAGGGAACCACCTGAAACATTCAGGTTAATGGCCCCCGAGGACCAGGATTGCGAACCACTGCAACCTCCGTGCAACTTGAAYTAATATTCACTCATGGCCGTTTGCAGGGTCCTCACCAGCCAAATAAATGTTATGCTGTACTTTGTCTTCCCGTTTTTTTTCTCTCTCCTTTTTCCCATTGCTTCCTGTTCTTCTAACAATCGTTAGTTTCACTTTTCATTAGGCTGAATCAATAAGGCGGACCAGTGGCTGATGGTGTGGACTGCGTGGCAGACACCCCACTCGGTCTCCTTTCTCTCTTTATTCATTCTTTCTCTTGTTCTCTTTGTTCTGCCCTGAACTCCAGCTATCTCCGCAGCGACCATCCAGTCGGAGAGAATGCAAGCAGCAGTGCGAAGCTTTAAGGGGCCAGAGAAAGAGAGATGAGCCACAAGTTGGAAGACTGCTTAGCCAGAAAGATGGAAATGGCAATGCTAAACAATAGCCCACTAAAGAATAATTAAGAGCCTGTATCCCATCCATCCATCCATCCATCCATTTTCTGTACACGCTTCTTCCTTTTCAGGGTGGCCCTCAAGCTTAAAACAATACTGAAAATGGAGGCTGCATTCTGATAAGGAAATTAAAATCTAAATGCTTATACAGACATGTTTTTTTCTTCGAATGTTATAGCAAATGAATGTAATTGCTTTTGTCAGGATTCAATATGTATATTAGATCAGGCTTTTGTATAAAAATATGTGTTTGTTTATCAACTGAATCAGTCCTTTAATTTGTATTTGAAAACTTAACAAAGGCAAAAGCTGAAAATCAATGACGTAACGTCTTACTTTTATTAGATCTTCTTACATATCACCATCGCCCGAGCATCACTCACACAGAATATGTGCACGCGCATTGAACAAGACCAGCTTAAAACTATTCAGATTTTTCACAAGATGTATTTAGTTATCCAGCGCTAATATAATGCAACAAGTGTCAGTAGAACAACAAAATCTTTGGGAAAAAAACTGAAGCACTGAGCTGAACTCATGCCATTTTGAACACACACACGCACACGCACACACACACACACACGCGCACACACACACACACACAATCAACAGATATGTGAGAGAGAGTAAAACTCGTGATTACTTTGATCACATTCATCTTAATGAAATTGAATGTCAGCAACCACTTTATGATTCCAGATCATAGCCCGTTTCATGTTTCAACTTAAAAGCACTGTGTTCATATGGTTGGGAAAAGGACTTGTGGTAAATAAAGTCTTGTAAATAAGTTCTGCTGCTGAATTTAATGTAAGGATTTAGGTAGCTGCTAAATCTGCTAGGCAAACATTTGTGTTCCATTGTTTTAGCTTAATATGGACAAGTGGGTATGAATACTGGCAATAAAGATGTAGCTTACATGGGAAAGTAGTTTCTACTTCCTGATCCTGTCAAAATAAAACTATAATGGCAAAAGCAGGCATGAGCTCAATCCAAGTTTAATGGCGTTGAGTCAAAAAAAAAAAAAACAACTCCCTTTTGGTAAAGATTTGTGGTGATTTGGAGAAGTACACAGTGTTATTTCAGTTTATTTTAAACAAATGTAGATGAAAAGAAACAAAAAACAAAATGTCACAATATTTCTTCAAATTAACTTCATTGATTCTACAAATTTGAAACTCTGCCCATTATTATTTGTTAGTACGTCATAATTTTAGTGTCACTTTTTTTTTTACTTTTATACCACTGTTCACAAGAAGGTTGGTTTAACTTAAAAGARGTGTGGTATTAAATACCACACACATTTAGCCAATATGACATTCTTATGATGGTGTATTACTCGGTAAATCCTCAGAAACACTTGCAACTTGAACAAACTCAGAAAGAGTGTGAAGCTAGAGCTTATATGTGATTTGTCTCGTTCAGTTTTAGTATTTGTTGACTYAGCGGGCCGAGGTTTGACTTACCCAGCACAGTGAGTCGGGCAGGACGGGACCTCATGGCAACCTGGACAGCCTGGCACTCAAACACTGCATCGTCCATCAGCTCGACACGTTGGATGCGCAAATGATGCTCCCCTGAGACGTGGTCGCCAATCACTGTGTAACGTGGATAACCTGCAGTACAAATAAATTTGTTTATTTTGCATCACCCTCAATGTCAGACTACCAATCACCTGCCAAAATAAATAAATAAATAAATAAATAAATAAATAAATAAATAAATAAATACAAAACAAGAAGGCAATTTTCATCCACTTTAAAGCTTCTCATAAACCATCCACAGTCTATTGTCAAGCATGAATAAACGCTTCATGCACAGGGCTGGCATAGGCACAGTAACTGAGCTGCAAAATCACATCATTTACACAAGGAGGGGAGGGGAAGGTTACTTTATTGGTGTATATAGGTAGATTGCTCATTTGTTAATTTACTCCCAATGCATTTTATAGCACTCCTCGCATTTTTAATGAGGTGCTGTGGAGCCTGCTGCATCCTGGAAAAATAATAAAAAAAAGCTTTACTGCAACAGTAAATAGGAGCAACACGTTTGAGTTGTTTTATCAGTGCTCTATGAAATGATTTACAGTTTAATAATGGAGGYAAGAGGAATAACCAAGAGACCTGGAAAGTCAAGATGGACAGTTTTAAAGATACCTAACTATTATTAAAATTACCATTTTGCGTGTGTGCTCTGAAGGGTATCTGTGTGAGGACAATCAGYAGGAATGAGTGTTCAACCAGATTACAGATTGGTATTTCATGTGCTGTWACAACTGCTCATCCCTAAAGATTATTTTTTCACTTTCCTTTTCATAATTATTGTGGGTGCAATTTGTGGAATGCAATGACAATTTCTTCCCATAAATACTGCACTGTGGGAAAAAAAAGGGCTCCAGTTGCTCTTGTGTAATTGATTGGTGATGGAAGCAGAAAATTGGATTGAAGAGGAGAACAAGGCCGGGCTTTTTGCAATGTCTCGACCCTACTTTGTACAACATCCTTTTCTACTTTTGTTTCCCTCACTCATCTCTCCTCCATCTCCTTTGCCTGCTGTTGCTTTGAAATGACATGATTAAAAACAAATAGTTGGGGTAAAACATTGATTTCTCACAAAAATCTCATCAATGTTCTGTGGAAAAAAAAAACAGGGTCTCTCTCTGATCACGTTTTAGCACCCAGATACACTAGGAAGCGCAGCTATTAGCTTCTTAAATTTGTGTCGCAAAAGCCATCATATGCTCTATGTCCAATTACTGACTTTAGCTTCATTGAATCCAGCAGCTTTTAATAGAGCATGAACTGGGTCTCATTATAGGCTGGTGGGGTGAGTTACAGCTGATTAAACCACTCTCTGCATTTCATCCTCCTACATGAAGCCTTTCATCTTAAGGGTCTATACAGTAGGAGGACTAAGGACAAAAGAAATGTCTTGACACAAATATTAAAGCTGGCAAAAAATAAACAGGAGAGAGCCAGTGCAAGCCGCTAAAATGGGCAGAGATGTAGGATCCACAGTGTGATGATTCTCTTAGAAATGTGTCATCTTTTCTTTACTTTTATGTTGCATGCTAAACTAAGGATTGTCGGTGCACCAGGGTTAACAAGAAGCTGATGACAAGTAAAAACATCCATTAACAGTAACAACTGGCTGAGAAAAAGTTCTCTTCTCTTTCAAACTAAAAAACAAAATGCTTGAAACCAACGATGCAGATGCACAAGGTTGCTCAGAGAATCACTTAGCCTCAGTTTTGGCAATAAAATCACTGTGGATCACAAAGGTAACAATCACTGCGCTAATTGAAATAATGTGAACCAGGGTTGACTCCAGTCTGTGTACCTTTTCTTAAAGACCACAGAGGCAGATTGAACGTCACACAGACTTTGTTTTGCTTGTCTTATCGAAGTGCAATTTAGGCCACGCAGATTTCCGCTACACAAACAGATTATCCTGCCAGTTACCTTGTCTGTGCTTCTGGCAAACTAAGAATAATATTGCTGTGCGAAGACACAGGCTCTCCTCCAGTTTCATCTTGATTTGTTAGCTGGAGCCAAAACAGAAAAAGCCATTTGCATTTGTGATGGATAGTAAATGATAAAGACGTTCTCATCTCATTTCCAAAGAACTGAAACATTGTAATGTGTTTCGCCACCTTATAAGCATCTTGATTATGCGTTTTGTCAATATGATTGAAATTACACAGGCACACATGAAGACAGATCACCCCAGTGCATGTGATGTGTACCTATAAAAGGCCATTGATCTTAGATCTCAGCACATTTCAAAGACACAACGTGTTACCCAAAGCAAACAATGTAAAATAGACCCATTAAGGAGTAATGAATCCATCAGGGAGAAATGGATTTGTCTCGGGGCTGAATCAATGGTGCAAGTGCGCGTGTGTGCACATGTAACTATAAACACACTTGAGGCATGGCCTGGTGATTTGTAGCATTCACCTAAAGCACATTTCACAGAGTGTAACCACCGAGGGGATGGGAACAGGTTTGCTGCAGCTGCGAACAGGTGAGCGGTGTTCAATTTGTTCTCACGAGAGGCAGCGGGTGACACAAGCTTGCATCCTGAAGGGTCTGCTGTCAGTCTCTTTTTCAAAACGTACACAAAAACTTCCGCCTCCACCGTATCCTGTGTGCAAACCGAAGGATTTCACGTATATGTCGCCGCGTCGTTCGCCACCATCCGCACGCTGAGCAGATACATTCATGTCATGTCATGCATATTCATGACATTGATTGGTATGTTGAGCCGCTGTGGGGCCACTTTACTTAATTAGAGTGGAAAAGCGTGACACAAAGAGGAATGACGAGGAAATTCGGGGACAGATAGGAATCATTGGCTTTTGTACTGTGATTTCRCGCTCCGAATGGTGAAAGAGTTCTCTCAGTTTAATCACTGCTCCTGTGAATGGAAACAGGTCCCAGGCGGAGGATGCTGCCAGCGCAGCTTCTTTCRATGAATAGATGAGCAGACCTATATTATTGAAACGCTCCGTGCGACATTTGATTTGCCGCACTTTCCACGTATACAGCTGCCACTTTCCTTTCATTGTGTGCGTCTTGCTGCGATGTACCATCACTCTTTTGCTGTTGCATGTGTTACATGTTTAGGTAGGTTGGGGTGATAAAAAAGGACAGCTGTAGAGTGCTTTATTTTTGAAATAGTGTCATCCGTCTCAGTGGAAGGTACTCGGCTTCTGTCTGGATCATATTGGTGATTTTTGAAAACCTTTTTCTTCAGGCTGCTGGCTATTTCTCTTCACACAATTCCTCCTTTTTTCCACAACACAGCTCTCTTTTCCACAAGAATTCCTTCCTCCAGAAGTAGAATAGTTAGGGGAGGTCCAATAATACCTCATTCTGTTCCTGAATTTTACTCTATTCACAGGTTTTTTTTAAAGGCTTACTGTATCTGTGGTTCCTCTTTTTWGTGGTGACTCAGTAGTCTCTGTTTCTTGTTTTACTCCTTCACCTGACTTTGCCTGCTGTGAAAATGGCATTTCATCTTGGTCATTTTGTCGTGTCAAATCAATAAAAAAATGGAAGAGGATAAACATATCCGAGCCTATATAAAACCAAGCTCTCTCTCTCTCTCTCTCTCTCTCTCTCTCTCTCTCTCTCTCTCTCTCTCTCTCTCTCCCTCCATCTCAAGAAATCATAAGTACTCTCCCCGTCTCTTTATCCAAAGGAGACTTGATGGCTGCAGGACTATTGTTTACAGCTACCTCTCAGCTTCCGCAGGGCCTGATAAGAACCTGACAGGAGAATAGAATGACTTTACTGGGGCTCTGTCAACCTCAGAAGTTTAATCACAGACCAAATCTACGGACGGGAGGCGTGTTTGCTGAGAGTCAAAGGGTAGAAAACCTCCAATCTTATTGATTGATTGATTGATTGATTGATTGATTGATTGATTGATTGATTGATTGATTGATTGATTGATTGATTGATTGATTGATTGATTGATTGAACATTTTACCATTTACAGCCATGAAAGGTTTGGAAACCAATTTAGTTGAAAGTTGTGTCATTGTGCCTTTAATGCAAATAACTATTTTATTTTTTCCACCATGGATGTGTGTGTGTGTGTGAGGCTATTAGAGAGCCTTAAATCCAGGGTTGTATGAGCAGATTAAAGGTGTTCTCTGGACCAATGTTTTGGGTGATATAAAAGGTCACAGCAAGCAGTTTTAGTCCTTTTATACATTTTCCTTTCAATGTCTTAAAAGCACGTCAGAGCTCCTTTTCAGCAGGATCATGAATACTGTTTGCATAAAGCCATGATCGATGGAGCAACGGGCTAACAAATGACAGTGCACCAGTTACTGTGCTTCAAATTAAACAATTAAGACAATTATGCACGAGTCATGATATAATTAGGTGGACGCCGGCTACTTTTCAAAATGCTATTTAGCAAGCCTGAAGCGCTGGAAAGAATATTGAAATTAAACTCCCTTTGGATATCTGTGCTGTTTTGCCAAACATAAAAGACAAGAGATGTGGATCCTTTTAAACCAAGAGATAGGAATGAATTTCCAATTCGGTTTGCTCATGTTGAGTGTTATAATCATCGCTTTTGTAATGTAATTCCATTTTTAGCGCACTATTAGAGGACCTCTTTCATCTTGTCTGTGATGTAATGATTTTGGCAAATACTGTGACAGGAAGCATCCATTTGAATATTAAAGTTACGATTGAGGGTGTTTTTGATAGGAGGGAGAAATAAAAAACTGTGAAATTAGATAAATGTCGCTCCTTACCAGCAAGGTCTCGTCCCACTCCCAGAGCCAGGCCATCTTTGATCCACAAGACAATGCCGTGATATCCAGGGATGGTGCATGGTAACGTCACCGGCTGACCTGCCACCACGACCACATCCTTTGGCTCCTGGGAAAACATGGCCTCCGCTCCTTCAGAACAAAAGACGAGAGGCAAGGTTAGGCCTAATCTGCTTGAGACATTTACGTTACTTTAAAATAATCGAGACAAGAGGAGAGAGAGTTCAAGAGCCACGAGTGGAATATGTGATGGCTGCAATCTTTTACACACTGAATGAAAGCAAAAGCGCACAACGCTCCCCCCTTTTTGCCACCAATTTCACTCAAACCTCTTGTCAAGCCCGTGTTGTAAGAAGTCTGAAAGGTGATATACAAAGTGTGGCATATCTTTTTACTATTCACYACACAGAGACAAGACACTGTACTTGCATCAGTGTGCAGCAGCGAGATTAAAGCGCAGGCTTAGAGACAGCTATCATTGCTCAGCTTGGCTCAGTTATGAAGGATGTCACCATACAGATGGGGTGGGCCCATACACACCACAGCAGACAGCACAAGCTTGTCTGCCAGCACCGCTCCACTGGCATACATTAACTTGAGCTCACACCCATGTACTTCAACTGTGCAAGTGCTATTAACTACATCGCTTTACGGCATGTTCAGGCAGAAAGCTCGAAGTAGAGAACTCCATTAAGAGGTGTGTTAATGGCGGGGGGGGGGGGCGCAGAGGTGTGCTTGTTGTAGTGATCTCTGTGTGATTGTGTGTGTGTGTGTGTGTGTGGAGTGGGGTGAGTCAGAAAGGAGGCTACAGACTAATACTGACTTGTACTCAAACACTAGCAGTTTGGAGCCTGCACACGCTGACATGCATTCACCCTGACACAAAGGGCATATTTTCTATCCACGTTTTTTTTTTTTTTTTTTTTTTTTTGCCTGCGGTTACAGTTTAGACTTATTGTCTCTGTCAGTATTCAGTTCAGTGGATGAGATTCCAGATCTGTGCTGATCTATTGGTTCAATTTTTATAAACAGTTCTCTACATTCCTTTTTAATTTCATACAGTAACACTTTACTTTTCATTTAAACTGCACTGATGAATTCAGACAGTACTCATGATGGATGGAGATGTTTCTAAGCCTTGCATGGACCTAGTAAACAAAGTTACAGGTTTTACACACATACTTGCAAAGTCCAAACTCCAGACCTGACTTTTTTAATAGGCACACAGTTTGAATACATCTGATCCTTAGTCCTCTCTGGAAACACAAGTTGCAGCAAAGGTTTCTAAAATATTACACACATTGCAACAGTTTTGTTGCCTCCCAGTGTCAGATTTTTACACTGACTTGTTTGTATCCAATTGTAGACCAATTCAACCCAATACCTCACTTCCTTGAAAAGGAAATAACACAAAGGCACACACATTGCATAGCTGGAGAATGTCTTACCGATTATGCCAAAGTTAAAAGCAATGTGGATTGTGAAAACATGATTTCTTCTTATATCGTAGTGTCCTTGCATACTTTTTGACTATTCAAACAAAATTACCTGCCATTCATGTTGTCAGGCCAGAAGAAAATATGGATGTTGTAAAATAAACTCTCTGAGATTATCTGTATCTGCCATCTGTAAATGATTGCAATAAGACACGGACATTGTATAATGATCAGCTTTAGTACATGTAAATACCCTGACCACTTTATTAGTCACACTTGCTATTAGCAAAAATAGATAGTCAGCCATAGACATGGCAGAAACTCAATGCCTTTAGACACAGAGATGTGGTGAAAACGACATACAGTAGATGTTCAAACTGGGAAACGTAATGGGAAAGAAAACGGGATTTAAGTGACTTTGAACTTGGAATTGTTGTTGGTGCCACTGCCAGACAGGATGGTTTAGTTTTTTCAGAAAAATGTTGATCTGCTGGGGTTTTTACATACAATCATGTCCAGGGTTTAAAGAGAATCACCCTAAAATGAGAAAATATCTAGTGAGCATCAGTTAGGTAGACAAAATAAAGCCGTCAGACGTCAGAGAAAAATGAGCAGACTGCTTTGAGATGACACAAAGGCATTAGTAGCTCAAATAACCACTTATTACAAACAAGAGTATGCATAATACCATCTTTGAACACACAGCACATCCATTCTTAAAGTAGATGGTCTTCAGCAGCAGAATACCACATCGGGTGCCAAATGTGTCAGCTAAAACAGAAATCTGAGGATACAGTTCACACAGGCTCACCAACACTGTTCAATACAAGATGGAAAAACATTGCCTGGTTTGATGAGTCCTTGAGGGCTACTGTCCTGCATGTAGATGTTTCCCTTCTTCACCTGATTTGAATGTATGGGTGATTAACAGGCTTCTGCAGAACTTGAAGAGGGAATTCAGTCACTGAATCAGTTGTGTTGGATAAGGGAAACAAGTGAAACATGCCGGATAGTGGCCATCAAGGACCAGGTATGGACACCCCTGTTCTACTTCATGTTCTCAAAGGGAATAATAAACCACTCCGGTGACAAAATCAAACAGTTTCTTAACAAGAGTCTGCACTCGTCACTTAATCAGTTAAAAGTGACCTCGCCTTTTCAATTTAAAGCCTGGCCGGGTTTTGCAGCTGAAGTGTCATCACAGAGACAGAACAGCAGAGAAATGAAGCAACGCATGTGAGAAGGCTGGGTCTTTACATCAAGGTAGCTACGCTCATCCATCTACCTGTCCTCTCCGGTGAATAAATCTCTGTCACATCTGCCAGATTTACCCTTCACTGGGCATCACAGGGCGGGCAAAGAAACTTTCCACCTAATCTGCTTTGTCTTTATTCTTTGCCAGGCACGGCACACGGCAGAGAGACGACAACCTGCCCCCCCCCTCATAGATGTGACAAATATTTTCACGACTGAAAAATGCAATTAAGAAATAAGCGCTTCACTTTAGTGACAGCTATAGGTGGGGCCCATCTAAAACACTTTATAAACCGTTCTGATAGCGTAAATAAATAATTAAATCTGTGCCTATTTTCTGTGAGTCAAATGGGCCTTGACTTCAGGTTCTGTGAATGTGTGGGCACATGGAGACAGAGACAGACATCCTTTGTTTGTTGCTCGAGACATCAGGCAGCCCTGTGGGTTTTATTTATTTATTTTTTCCGTCAGCATCAGCCAGAATTACTGTGACTAACCCTTTGAAACAAAATAAAAGGTTAGGTTAGTGTGAAAAGATTTGTGCCAAAGGCAGAAAACCTTTTTTTTTCTAATCAATTTTTATTTATCAATTCAAGCAATTTCTTCTTAAGAGAGTAAAAAACATCTACCTTCACCAGAACAAAACTTAAATTGAATGTCTGGTCACAAAATAATGATAAAAAACTGCAATGAACATAAAAATGCAAAAAAATATTTGTCAAACAGTATAATAACCACAACACCTTTTTTGTCTACATGTGACATTTTCCTGTACAGGCTGCAGAGTGCAACATAAAAACATGGGTGTCTGTCAATTGGAAAGTTAGCAGTTTAATCCTGACATCCCATGCAAAATATCTAAGTGTCCTTGGCAGTGACTTTGAACTCCAGCTTGCCCCCTGAACTACAAACTATTGTGGGGTTTGCATGTAAATTACCTGTAATTTAAGAAAATGTGCTTTAAGTGCTCAGTAAGACTAAAAAGTATCAAATACTACAGTAAATGCATAGTGGTATTGTCAGTTATCCTTAACAAGCATAAAAAAATAAAAATATAAGCATTTTATTATCACAAAATCCAGTGTAATGTCACGTTTAATGTACAAAAGTGTATTACATTTAGGTAAAATATCAAATAATATTATCTAATTGCATATGTATCAATCAAAAACAAGTTTTCTTATTGCAACAACCTTGGAAATGTACATTTCAGGTAATTCTGATGTTTTACCCTTAGTATCATTACTAGTAATTCCTGACCAGTATAAAAAATAGTGTTATATATCAAGTAGTTTTAAGCCACCACTGAATTTGCATCTCTTTATGTCAAAAGGAATGCTAGAAAGTCTCTGTCCTGAAACAAGTGAAAAGCACAATATGGTTTTGACTTTTCTGCATCTGATTAATGTTATACTTTACACAGACAGCCAACTGCTGGTACAGTTCTGTGCATCAACTCACAGAAAATGACTCATGCTCTGATTGAATATCCTGTGTTTAGGCGAGTGAGGTCAGGGATCTTTCATAAAGACTACCCAGGTGTTTAAAATGGTGTAACAACAGCAGCCAGTTAAAGATGTGAGCAAAGAGCCACACTAACATATTGGACCAGCAGTTTGCTTTTCCTAATGTTATCATTTCACTTCAGATAATATGTTTACCATTGGACGGCTGCTGCATTTCCACAAACTCCATCAGTATTTTCCCCTTCGGTGCTAACTGCCCCCAATTTCATCGCTCTTTGCCAATCAGGCCTGGAAATTGCCGTTACAGACACACATCCAGCCCACTTCAGATGAATAATCAGCATGCTGTCTGTGCGGCATGTGGCCACACAGCAACAAAGCTTAGCCTATGATCATTATCAAAAACTATTACCCCTCTGGCCTGAGCAGTTTATACCAGCAATTTAGAAGCACAGGAGAGCCTCACAATATGGAGGAGCTCGTTAGGCATTTGTGRGTATTGTTATTTAGCAGCAAAGAACCACAGTGTCTCTGCTTTACGTCATCCCCGCTAGTGGTATAAGGTTGTTTGAAAGTAGTGGTGCTGGGGGAGAAAACTGGTGCAAGTGTGTGTGTATTTGTGCGATGGGGGCATTTTTATCTCCTTTTAATACACTGGAGTTGCCATAGGTGACAGGCAGCTTGTTAAAGGCGTGAGGTTATAGAGACTAAATCAAGTTATCCYTACAGATTGGATGGGAATGACCACTAAGATTACAGTAAGTGAAAAAAATATATAGATATTTTCTGGTCCTGCAGGAGTTCCAAGTGGCCCCTTGTTTGAAAAATACAAAGTCCCCTCTGCAAACAAGTCAATTTTCTAACTGCATAACATTTTTGTATGTTTTGTAAAAACAAACAAACAAACAAACAAACAAACAAACAAACAAACAAACAAACAAACAAACAAACAAACAAACAAACAAACAATTCACAA